GATAGTCGTTGCCAGCCAGTCTCGATATTCATCTGAAGGATATAATTCCCTATTACTTTTATCAGTTGTCAAAAAACTTGCATGGGGCACCCATTTGTGAAACATGCTGGTATCTCCTTGCTCAGGATCAAATCTCCACCTATGTTCAGTTGGTACATCATCTCGAGAGCTGTCAAGTTCTTGATATAATACCGAGAAGGTTGTCCAATCAATGGCAGCGAAACGACTTCTTGGATGTAAAGATTCGAAGGCATGGAGACAACCTCGATCTTTTTCACAAATGCATATGCATCAACAACATCCGGTGACGGGGTGAATGTTACATTTAGCACCTGGTCGTCGACGTCGATACAGAACTCCGTCACGTTCTAACAATCATCAGTCAGGCATTTACAGTACGAAGCAGTGGATGTTTTCAGAAGAGTGAAGTGAGCAGCACTGACAGAGAACAATGCTTTGGAAATATTAAAGCCTGAATATGAGAATGGATTGAAATGAAGGCGAATTAACTTGAGACCTGGAGATACAGGAAATGGATATGTGATTTGTTTATTGTACACGCAAGGCTGTAGCTTTTCACTGTTACCTGGATTTGTCCCATAAACTTTGGACACATGAGAAGATGTTTCATCAAATGAGGAACAGTCATAACTCATAAGAAGATACTGCCTCGACAGAGATTGTATGGGTTACTACTAAAAACCAGATGAAAGACGACAACAACATACCAAACATAGAGGGCATTGAGCTTCTGGGTTTTTTCTCTCTGTTTACACATACTCAAAGGTTTCATGTGGATCAGATATAGATACATACAGATACTGGTTTTCTTTGTAGGATTGGATATTTAGTTATTTCAAGTTTTACTGTTTTTAGGGTAATCTAACCAAATGACTACTATAGACACCCGTTTTTGTCTGGGTTATAATTTATTATTATTATAATAATATTATTATGATTATTATTAATATTAATATTATTAATTAATTAAGTTAATTATTACAGGTCCAAAAACAAAATTTTACAAGCAATCCAACGTCACAACCCATTTAGCAGGTCCAAGGCAAGTCCACAATGCAAACTAGGGTTTCAAACTATTCTCTAGCTGCCACCCCATTTCAACTGTTGTATCAGATCTGATTCAACGGCTCAAAATAACCCATATTAGGGTTTTGACATAAAGTCGTCTGTCACCACGCGCCAACCCACCGCTGCCACACGCTCCCAGCGTAAGTTGTACGCGCTCGTGATTCCCCACTGCCCGAGGATTACCACCATCGATTTCGTCGCCAGTTGCCTCGAGGCGGACGGAGATAGCCTTGGGGTAAAAAATATTTACCCCAACCTTTTCTTACATCACCACTATTCAGGACAGGACATTGTCCCCATTGAAACACTCTCCTCGATCATACCCCAAAGCCGAAAGAAGCATCGATAAAACAAAAAAAAACAAGAGTCAGAAGGTATTTTCCCATTTTCATGCAATAAAAGCAAAGTCAAAATAAAGACTCTCTATATAACAACAACCCTCAACACATCGAAGAGGAGATCATCAATAACAAGGAATCCAGTGAGAACACAACAAAGAGAAAAATAGAGAGTTCATTTCAAAAAGAAAAAAAAGGGAAAGAAAGAAAGAGGAAGAGAGAAGAATGAACTTACCATTGCCAGTTTCGCCAAAAGATCTAAACATCACCGGAAAGTGATGCCTTTTTTGAAGGTAACCCTTTGAATCCTTTAGATCTAGGACAAGGGAAGGGGATCTAGGGCAAGGGGTGGTCGGATTCGAGTTTAGGGAAGGCCAACATTATTTTGGGTAGTTTTTTAGATCTTCGGCCGCCGTGGGCGGCGACGGAGGGCTCCAGTGAGCGGTGGCCGGAGGTTGTCGGCCTCCCACCGGCGAAGAAAAGTAGAGAGAAGGCAGAGGAAAGTTATTTTCTCTCCCTTAATAGAGAGATTGAAAATGAAAAATGAGGAAGGTGGGGCTATTTTCGGCCACATTATGGGTATATATACCCCATTCTGAATGACACCATTTTGGGAGGGAGAGTGAGCGTTTTAGCGTGTGGGTAAACCCCTCCCCGGGTCCTTCTAATTTTGTAAACTTTGCATTTTGGTCATTGAAATGAATTTCTATTTTTTACAATTCGAACTTTAAATTTTATCCACGTTTCGTTTTAGTCCCTTTACACTGGTTATGTTATTTTTATGCTTATTTTATGTTGAGTATCCTTTTTTAATAATTTTCATTTGGATATTGATGGTTGTTAAATTACGATTCCAGTACCTAGCTTGCTTGATGTTTTCGCTTATGGTCGTTACTTTTGCTTGGCTTATAGTTTAATCCTCAAATTTTAATATTTCTTTATTATTTTAGTTCTGAATAATGATGTTGGTTTATTTATGATTCTGGTGCCTAACTTGTATGATATTTGAACTGGTTACCCTAGTCTTTACTTGTTTTACAGTTTGGTAAATTGTACAATCACAATCCTTGAGCAATTCCACTCAATGACGTTGCCTCAAATTTAGTTCCTTTTTGTGATCTAGTATTTCAATCTCTTATGATCGGTAAAGATGCAACACTTTTCTCCGAATAAGTAGTGGCTTTAAATATTCATGGTGAAAACTATGACTTCTAGCTCCAAGTCATATGTGAGGTAGTTGTGCTCATATGGTTTAAATTGTCTGGATGCATAAGCAACCACTCAACCCACTTGCATCACCACAAAACGAAGCTATTCAATGAAGCATTTCTAAACACGGTAAAGTTCTTGCCTGACTCTGATTGAGTTAACACTGGTCCCTAAGTCAACACTTCTTTTAGCCTCTTGAAGCTTTTTTGACGTTTGTCATATGTGTAATAGCCCAAATTTTGGCTAGTAACCAAAATATAAGTTTTGAAAGTTTAGTGGTAAAATATAAACTTTGTAAAAGTTCAAGGACCAAAAATGTAATTTTTAAAAGTTATATATTTTGGTTGGAAAATGGATAGTTTGTTACGAATTTAATGTTTTTGTGGGAATTAGAATTTTGATTTGGGGTTTATGTTAAAAGCTATAAAGTAGTCAATTTCGGTAAGAAATCGGGTAATCAAATTGAACCAAAATTTTACAAAAATTTGGAGGATAACATATAAGGGTTGGAGATATTATTTCCATATTTTGGAATAATGAAATTTAATGTGGATCAGTGGAATTGAAGTTCATTGCGATTTTTGAAAATTACATGGCTAAAGTAGGAAGTTAACTTCAATTTAGTACATCTTTGACTATGGAATATTAAAATGGAAGATAATCCAATGACAAGTTGTAATTATCAAGGTTCATTAATGGTAAATTTGAAAATTCTTATTAATTGAATTTTAAATTCAATTAAACTGGTTTTAAGCCAAGTGTATGATGAAATAATACTAGAATAATCAAGAGAAATAATATTTTCAGCTTATCTTCTTCATTTGGCCGTAACTCCATAGCCACACAATGTGAGGATTTTATTTTGATTTTTAAAGCTACATAATTGATTTTTTGGATTAAGCTATTAGATAGAGAATTAACCCTTTTGAAATTCTCTATCATTTGGTATACATTTTGCATGGAAATCATGCTTAGTTGATGAGTTTCATGAATTCAGTGGTTAAAGAACATGTTTGATTTTGAAGAGTTGATGGATAATTTTTATGTTATTAATTTGTAGATTAATTCTAAAGCATGAGTGATGATTAAAATCAAGTGTAAAGGCATATATGATTTTCGTCCATGCTAGGGTTTGTGCATATTGGTTGAATTTTGATCGGATTTGATGTTATGAAGATTATAATAACATGAATTTGATGTTAAGAAGTTGAATTCATGCTTGAAATTGAATGAAAAGTTTACCCTAGTTACTTTGGAAAATTCGGCCAAAGGGAAAAATATTAGGAAAATTGTTGAAAATTTTCCTATGGTATAAAATTGATATTAGATGTGTTCTACATACTTTGGAGATTGAATTGAATCAATTTGGAACCTTGAGATAGTGAAAGGGCCAGTTTGCAAGTTTTGAAAATTATGAGAAATTGATGAGAACTTGTGCAACTATGGGTATTCAATCTTAGTATTTAATTATTGAATGCTAAATTTTAAGTTAGAATATTGATTTGGGACAAAAGTGCAAATCTGGTGAAATTCCATAGTAGAATTCGAATGGTCATGGAATTTAAGGACTTAATTGTAAGTTTGCAAATGTGAAGGAACTAGTTGAGTATGAAATTATAACGCTGGAAATTTTAGCATTTGATTTGAGATAAATGAATTTGATGAATGATCATTTTGAACAAAATGGAAAAGTTTATGTGAATTCTAAGAAGAATTCATAAATAGTGACGTAAATGGAAAGTCTATGAAAATTGAAAGGTTGATGATGAAAATGAATATTTATGAAATTGAATAGTTACTTTGGAAAGGTTGAAGATATTATGGAGTAGTGATTTAATTTTTATATCGATTGAGTATCGATTTTTATTTTATAGAATTTTATATTTTTGAGTTAAGATTATGTTAGTATAATACTAACATATAGTTTGAATGTGGTGTTAGGTATGTGATGTCGTACATATTACGACAAATCTTGCAATAGTGATTCAAAAAGGAAAGAAAAAGAACGCGAGTAAAAATATATCATAGAAAAGGTTCGATAATTAGGCAAATGTGAGTGTTGTTTATTTATTTAATTATTCTGATTGAGGAAGACTTACGATAAATCAACCTCGTATGATATTTTTTTTAAAGGTATGATTTAATTATGTTTATGGAATATTCCCATAATGCTTATATAATTTTTTTAATGATTTTAGGGTATGAACTGTCTAAGTAGTGATTTTTATAATAATGAGTTCGAAATGATTCTGGTTTGCAAATATTGATTTTTAAATAAAGATGATATGATCTGAAAGATCATTGTATGTTGCATTGAGAATCATAGGTACACTTGGTATGCCATGAATTTGAGTAATTCTGATTCTAATCTGGTACAATCGTGTACATTATGTATCACACAGTTAGTACAAATGATATGATTCCACTTGGAGTGCATATTCTGATTTTGATGATAGCACTGTTGGTGCTTAGTACGCACATTCTATCGGACTCACATACCCTGCATTCTCTTAAATATACCCTAGCCGAAGCATAGGAGCCACCTGAGGAAGTTCCATCAAGTCCATAAGGATTTACCTAATGCACAAAGCAAAGAAACCACTCTAATGGAGTGCCTTAGACCTAGCTGCCCACCCAAGGGTTGCCTTAGGTCCATAAGGTATTACCAGCCTGATCGGGGCTAAACCTGCAAAACTGCATATCACATCCCAGAAGTACCCCATTAAAACAATTTCAGATAGTCCTAGTAAAATTAATAAATCATAAATTAGACATAGCTATTTTTCAGTGAAAACAACAACCAAAGAGTATGTATCGGACAATTAAGAATTTAAAATCATTAAAAAAAATTTAGGAATTCAGAAAATCATTAAAACATAATCAGACTTTAAGTATATAAATTATTCAGTAGTCAAATCAGATCAGTCAATCATATTCTAGATCAGATAAAATAGTTATATGCACATGAGAATTTAAAACAGATATTTAAATTAGTATATAGCATATAAGAAACCCACCTAAAAATGAATCAGTCTAGGAGGTCTACTAAGCATGGGCCTCGCTACGCTCTACAATAATGCTCGAACCTAAAACACAACAAATTCGGGTTACTATCGAAATAATATTTAAATCTGAATATTTATAGGGTTTATAAAATTATAGGGTAATCACGAGCTCACGCGATCGAATGGATCGAGAGGAGCTTGGTCAAGCTGAAGAGCGATCGGGAGAGTCTCGACTACCTTCAATAATCAATACCATAAATCAGTCATTGTCCTTAAATTAAATGTGTTTAACTAAAATAATTATATACATGCATGTTCAGGGTTCAACACTCAATTTAGGAACTTTTAGGTTAGAATTTAGCAAACTGATCGTAAATTCGGACTCAGAACGTCGAAAAATAAATATGACCTTGAATTTTTGGTAAAAGTCAACTTTAGTTAAAGTAAACTATGGTCAAAGTTAACGGTTCGATCAAAATCAACAATACATGTTCAAATTGACTCAATGCGAGTTGACTCGCTTGATCCAATTTAAGAACAGATAGATTCAATCAAATAAGACCAGTTCAGTCTGATCCTATCCAACTAGACTGGTTCTAGAAGATTCAACAGTTGGAGACGAAGCCCACGTGTCAAGACGGTGCGTGGCAGCGCTTGCGACGATAGTAGCTGCAGTCGTGGCTATCCGATTGCTCGAGGCTTCCCCACTTGCCAACATTTTATCAACAGTCAACAAATAACACTTTAAATCGCAAGGAAAAACGATTGGAAGCTTACCCACAGTGCAACGGTTATGAACCAAATCGGTTGGGTTTTGGTCGGACGACACTGGGGAGTCCAGTACTGGGGGTGGTGAGACCAAATGAGCTCGGGATCGGCACAAAATAGAAGAAACTCAATGATGCCCGGTGGGTTTTTGATGTACTTTTTAAATGTCGATTCACGACAAACGACGACGACTTATGACGAGACAACAGATGGGTTTTGATCACGAGCAGACGAAGAACACGCTCATATGGTGAAAGGACATCAATGGAAAAGCTAGAAATTAGGGGGTTTAATTTTTAGGGTTCCATTTGATTTCAACTAGAAAGGGGCCTTTGGGGATTAAAACATCGATCTTAGAAGGTTTAGATGATATTTTTATTATTTCTAGACATATGGCTCTCAATGCCGCAGCACGTGGGTTTGAGACCCTGCGGTAGCAAATCTCACCAATTTTTTTTTTTACTTTGCAGAGGAACGATGGTCAAATTCAAGGGTAAATTCCTAGACTTTTAGAAATTTCGAAAACTGTCTTAAAATTTTGAAAATCTTACAAACTAGTCCCAAAAATAGTTAAATAAATTAAAATTAAAATTAAAATTAAAATTAAAATTAGGGTGTTACACACCTCTAAACATAAAATTCTGCTTCAGTCTATTTCAACTCACTAAATATAAATTCAAAGATTTATCATATTCTTTTACAGATATGGTCGTATTTGTGATCTACTTTTTAGTTTGGTGGGATTGAAACTTGAAAGCTGAGTTTAAAAATATAATAGAAACAATATTATTTTTATCGTCTGCGTTTCTATGGAATTATTTAAAAGGAAAAAAAATGATCACGTGCGCTACCGACAAGGGCGTGAGATGTCTCAATTAGTAATCAGGACCGCCTGAATCAAAGCAAGTAACCAACCAAAGCTGCCATTTCGTTATTTAAGATTGTCTCATCGTAAATTGTAACGTAATAGATGTTGCGGTCCATGCAATAGCAATCACATAATTTCTACTCCAAAACTTTGATCCATCACTATTCCTACCTAGCACATCTCGTTCCATAGCCCCAAATTTAATTTACCTAATTCAAAAGGATCATTTTCAAAACATTTTAATCACAACGTTTCATTTTGAGATAAAAAAGTTCATCCATGGATGAAACCGTTAGTTAACAAACAACTAATGCTTCAAAATATGGCTAGAATGAAACAATGATGGTCAAAGCGCTCCAGAAAAAAGAATAAGGATTAAATGACTATTTGATCAAATGTTATAGACAAAATAAAACTTTGGAGTCAAAATACTCTTAAAAATAGATGTCAAAATGATCATTTTATTAAACTTCATGAGCTAATTTTGACATAATAATAATAATAATAATAATAATAAAGGTGTATTTAATTAATTATTTAATCTTTTATTCTATTGAATATTGATTATCTTAATTTTATTTGATAAATAATTATTTTTCGTTGAAATTAGAATATCTATCATTAGTAATAGTGTAATATCAAAAAATGTTTCTATATTTTTATTGAATAATCTCTTTAGTTTATTTTTCTTAAATAAAGGTGTCTTTAATAAGTTATTTAATTTTTATAGAAATTTTAATATATAATATTTAATTATGCTTGATAATCATTTATCTTTCGTTGAAACCAATGTATCTATCGTTAATAGTAGTATTTAATAAGTATTAAAATAAATCTAAAGTCATGAAAATGCTAAGAATGAGTTTTGAATATTGGTTAAAACCTCTGTAGCCCCCAAATTATGAGCTTATCTTAAGGCTTTGAATATGAAGATCATTATATGTTAAATGAATTAAACAATATAATATAACATTATTAAACTTGTTAGATAATATTAAATTTTAAGAATCTGATTCCTAAACATAATTTCCCCAAGTAATAAAGACATATTACCTAAAACATCAACTATTCATAAAAATAAGAAATAATTTACAACACTTGGACCAATGTTACCCCTAAATAATAGGTTAAAAATAACCTATTATGTATAGTATAATATCAGACACGTTTAAAGAAAGTTAAATGTTAAAAATCAATGCAATCAAACTTTTCAATTATTATTTTAAATATTTTAATTAATTACTTTTTAAAAATATATATATTTATAAACTACTTTATCCAAAGTTTTAAAAATATAATTTAAAAAAAAACCATATCATGTGTAGTATAATTTTCCACAATAAATTTAAAATTAATAAAATATCAAAATAAAAAAGTAATCATTAGCTTAGATTCAAAACCGGCTAAATTATTAAAATAATATCATTTTAATATTTTTTTAAATAGTACTCAACACGTTTTTTTAATTCTCATAATAGCACAGATTCAAAAAAATTCTCAGAATAGCATCCATTTATGTCACATAGGACGAATGCGTATTAATGTAGTAGTGGAAACATCTTTACTTACATGGTAAACTCAGGGTGACATCAGTATTGAAAAAAAAAAGTCTATAACTTGCCATGTAAGTAAATGTGTTTACTTGAGGAAGAACCTTTCAAAAGACACCTTCGTCCTAAGCAACAAAATGAGTGTTTAGTGCTATTTTGATAAATAAAGTATAAAACATATTATTTTAATAATTTAACCTTCAAGTCTCATATAATTATCATTTATTATTTTGTCTCATGTAAAGAAATTTAATATATTCATTGAAATAAATATCATCCAAGAATTAGATTATGATTTGTAAATGGAGCATTTTAAATTAAGAAGATTGCTCTCATAATATGTATTTATAATATACGACTATGATTAGGGGATCAATAAACCTAGTATTTATATTTATAAAAATATTAATTATATTTTTGTGGAATATTTATTTTATATTAGACATAAAAAAAGTAACGTAACCAAAGTGATTTAAATGGAATCAAAAGTTTGACTCCACATGGAGTTTTTATTAATAGCTTGGACTCTACCAATGGCAGTAGGAAAAACTGACGAGCACATAAATGTAAATGGATGGAAGGTTGAAGAAAACAGGTAAAAAAACCAAAGCTTTTATAAGACATTGCAAAAAGCACAACTTGTTTTTTTTTTTTTTTTTTTTTGCCTTATTTGGAGAACATGAAAACTTTCAAGCGTAAAAAATCAAAGAAAAAAATGTGGGGAATAATAATAATAATTTGTGAGTTTAGAGCCCACATATATAATCATAATGCCTCATCATTAACATATAGAAACAATAGGACAATGCTGGAAAGGGGAAGGGACCAATTTCCAAATATTCTTTTGGCAGCTAATAGTTGGATATGTTATAGATCAAACAATTATGATACTTCAAAATATAATAAATCATATACAAAAATATATATAAAAAATATTGTTCAAACTTATTGAGTAACCTCAATGGTAAAACGGATTTTGTTATCTCTAGAGTTTTCGAGTTGGATCAACTACGTCTTCACTCTTCAGGTTATGTGTAAGTTATCATAGACTAAAAAAATCTGAAATAAGATTATCTTACAATCACCTCGTACTATTCAAATATATTGTAGACACTCATTTTCTTAAAAGATAGAACTAGCAAGAGTTCATCTCCTAAGATGACTCTTCCACCACCATATCTTTTAAAGCAACAACCACACCAACAAACGTGCAACAACCAAGTAAGGAGTCTAGTTTCATTAGGATTCTATTGTTAATAGGATTCTAAAAATAGTTAGTTTTTTTCACTATAAATACATGTAATCCCCCCTATTTGTAAGACACGATTTACATACAAGATACAGAGGAAAGCACGAAAAAATACAAAGGCAAAGCTATTGTAAACGATTCGAAAAGGAAATAAAAGGTAGTATCTTTTTTACTTTTGATTCGATCTCTTACATTTACATTTTAATTATTATTATTTTATTTATTTAACTTTATTTATACGCACACTTCCCTTGTTACTTATTTTATTTATTTTGTTATTTTTTTTCTTTTTTTTCATGTAATATTTTTTTACGTTTTATGCATTTTCTTTTTTTTACTTTAGTATATATTTTTATATTTTTTAGATTATATATATATATATATATATATATTTTTTTATTATCAGTTTTATTAATTTATATATATATATATATTTATTTATTTACTATTTTTTATTTTATATATACATTATTTTTACTTTTTTATTATTATTTTATTTATTTGTTTTATTTATATATTTTTTATTTATATTTATTTTTTATATTTATTTTACTTACTATTTTATCTTTGTTTTCTTTATCTTATCTTTTATTTAATTTTTTTCTTCATTTTAATTTAATTACTTTATTTATTTCTTACTTTTTTATTTAACATGGTTTTTTGACTTTCTTAAGGCCACACCTTTAAAACTATCTAAAGTAAGTAATTGTGATCGTATTTTTACCTTTTAATTTTAAATTACAATTTTCTTAATTTAAGACAGCCGGCAAATTAATTGGTACCGAAAAGACGGTTCAAGGGTGCTAATCCTTCCTTGACCGTAACCGACTCCCGAACCCGACACATTTATGGTAAAAACGTAGATAGGTAAGATGGTGTCCAACCCACCTAAATTCGTTTTAAAGTGGTCGGTGGTGACTCCAATCCACATTTTTCAAGTCGAAGCCCAATTCCGGGGCCCAACCGAAAGACGGTTACGACAGCTTGGCGACTCTGCTGGGGACATGTAAGTAAGTCAGGCCGAAATTAATTTTCGGTTGTCTTTTTTTTAGCGAAAATTACAAGTTTAAATTTTAATTTATTTATTTGATTACATTATTTATCTTTGAATATTTTTTTTCAAGTAAATAGTTGTACTGGCCTTTTTTCAATGATTTCATATTTTTGAAAAAGTTTCCATCTTTAGCTCTATACTCGAGCTCCGAACCCTTTTAAGTGGGGGTGAAAGCGACGTCTTCGTGTGAATTTATTCACCGTGCGGGCATAAGAGAATGTTTTCTCTCGAGTTTAACTTAGTCCACATAAGCTTGTAATGGGCTTAGGACTAAGGGTCTAGTAAGCCCAAGGGGGCACCGGCAAGGGGAACTCGGGTCCCATTTTTTTAGAACCTAAACTGGGAGACTTTGAAGGAGTTAAAACCCACCCCAAAATCTCATTTCAAACCCTAGGATGCCGGAATTATTTCCTGCTTTACTTTCTATTCAAAGCATATGAAATAGAAATTTATGCGGTTAGGACTTGTTCAAAATCAACTTGCGGGATAGAGATCATGTCCGGGTAGGAATAATAAGCATGTGGGGTAGATATCATGTGGGGTAGGACTTTTATTTTCATGATTGTTTTTTTACCTCACTAACCTTTTTCATTTTTGTTCTCTTTTATTT